TCAGACAGCCACTGCTGTTGTTTTGGGAGGGTGTGGAGAGGCTTTAACAATGGTTTTCTTCTTCTTTCGTTACTTATAAAAAAAATACGGTTCAAAAGACCATCTGAAAATGAGGAGAGGATTAGCAAGAGCTTGCGTTTGTTCCTGCCTGCTTGTTATTTTCTGGTAGAGGTTGACATTTAGAGAGGAGAGACTACTGTTTCAGTAGAAAATCAGGTCTCCCAATGACAGGTTTATCTCAGAGGAGCGCCAAGTTTTGAAAGTCGGGGAGAAGTTATTGCCATTTACTATTTCATGTTGCTTCCTGTCCAAGCATCCCTACTGCCTTGAGGGATTTGTTTGCCCTTGGCAGGATTAACGTAAACATTATTTTCCACTTGATACTATGTCTTTTCTTTCTATGGTTGTAAGCCTCAACTGGATTCATCCTCAACGATTTATTTAAATAATGCATTTCCATAATTTCTCTTGCTCTCCTTCCCATCTTAGTGCCCCCCCATCCTCACTTCTGATAAACACATTGATTTATTTTAAGCCAGTGTTGCCTTTGTCCCTCTCTCAGCACACCACCTTCCCCCCCCAATGAGCAGACGCATGATTTACTATGGAGTATGACAACGAGCCTTCTTCTCAGTGTTCCATTGTCTGGGTCCTAAACCAGCTGTCTGTTAAAATGGTTTCACTTAAAATAGTCAATGCTGTTTATATGCCCCTGGGATCTCCCAGCTGATCCATCCTCAGCCAGCTTGCCTCAAACCCCACAGAGGCATACATTTAAATTCGGAAGAGAGGCTGAAACCCCCAGCTCCCTTTTTCCCAAATTGGTGTTAGAAGATGCCTACTCTTGGGGAGGGGGAGCCGTGTTATCATCTAGCTGTGCTCAAGTGTGAACCAGTCTTGCTGTGTGTGCTAAATGTACACAGTGAAGATGCTTTTAGTCGAGGAGCAAGCTGGAGGGAGAACTTGAAGGCAATGAATAAAAAAAAAGGAAGGCTGAAGTCTGCTTGATGTTACTCGGACATTGAGCTCTCCAAATAGACCTATCATGCCTTCCTATACCAGGTCCCATCCAAATGCTCATTTCTGAAGCCCTTATTTTCTGTGTGTTTTATATGTATATGCATGCAAGGGTGTTTTCAAAAGTCTTTTCAGTGTTTGAAAAATATTCTAGTTTTATTATTATTATTATTTTTATCTACAGTGTTAGGGGAGTTCTGCCTTTGAATTGCACAGGAAAACTTGCTCCCTTAATGCAACAGCATAGTTTACTCTAGAGAGAGGAATTTTGTCCTTCCTGGCCCATGGTAGACTTCCACTCTCTTTTATTGTGGATTTCCCAGAAGCAGTAGTTCTGCCCCTGTGCATTGAGAACTCTTCTTATTCTATCCAGACCCAGGGAGAGGGAAGACAGAAACTGCAGATTCCACATCTCCCCAGAGTTCTTAATTATTTCTGAGCAAATCCAAACTCTCGGTTTCGTTTTTCTATGCTTGATTTGGAGAAAGAGTCTCTGTTCGGAATCCACTGGTAGAAGTGGAGTGGTAGCTTGCTTGATATTTGGTAAAGAGATGAGTTACAGAGGGAGTGGGCCTGTTAACGAGCAATGCTGAGTAGCCAGGGAAATAAACGTGGGACTTCTGGGAGTCCCTGTCCTCCATCGCCTGGGGAGTCCTCAGTGGATTTGCCTTGCAGCTTGCTATTAACCAGATATGTTATTATGGCCCCACTCATTTCAACTAGTTGCCTTAGTAACAACAGTGTTTATCTCATCTAGAAAGATGCAAAAACGATTCTTATATAACGTATATGCCTGCCACCACCCTCTCCTCGAAAAAAATAACACAATTTCTTCTCCCTTCTCCTACCCCTCTTGCTCCAGTATGGAAAACATTACTAGTACCTGCACACTGACTTACCGGGTTACTTGTTTATCAAGGCAAACACTGAAGTTGAGGCAGAGCTTATGGAGTGTCTTAGGAGAACATACAAATAATTTAGTGATAATAGGATTTAGTAGAATTTCGCCATTAGAATTTTTTAGCACCATACTTAAGGATCTGTTCAGTAATTCACTGTGTTTTTTCTCCTTTTTTTTTCATTAAAAAAAAGGGATTGCAGAAAATAAAGCAGACACATATAAGTTTTCAAAAAATTTACATGTATTTATTATTTAGTTTGTGTGCTTAAGTGCACACACCCTCATGTATGTGTGGAAGCTCATGAGATCCACAGTGCATGTGTAGAGGCCAAGGGACAACTGTCAGTTCTTTCCTTCTGTCCTGTGAATCCCCAGGATTTAACTTAGGCTGCCAGGCTTGTTGGCTAACACCTTACCTGGTGAGCAGTCTCACTGGCCTCAATTTTTTGGTTTTCAGAATATTCAATGATTTTCTTTCTTTCTTTCTCTCGTCTTTCCTCTTTCTTTCTTTCTTTCTTTCTTCTTTCTTTCTTTCCTTCTCTTCTTCTTCCTCTTCTTCTCTTCTTCTTCTTCCTCTTCTTCCTCTTCCTCCTCCCCCTTCTCTTCCTCTTCTTCTTCGACAAAGTTTCTCTGCATAGTTCTGGCTGCGCTGGAACTCCCTCTACAGACCAGTCTGGCTTTGGATTCAGAAACTCCATTTTTTAGAGTAAAACAAAAAACTTCTTGGTAATTTAGAAAGGTCATTTAGAAACATAGGAAAGATGTCTAGTGAAAAGGCCCATAAAATAAATGTGTTTGCTGAGTAAACCTGGATTCCTGAGTTCAATTCTTGATCCCCACATGACGGAAAGAGAGAACCAACCCCTGCAATTTGTCCTCTGACCTACACACACACACACACACACACACACACACACACACACACACACTGGCACATGCTCCCTCAATATAGTAAATAAATAAATATAATAAGAATAAAGGAAGGATTATGTATGCATGCTGAAACTAGTCACTAAAGATATGAAGCTTAATAGGACATTAACATAATACAAGTTATTGCCCCAAAATACAGAAAGGGTGAAATGTAATATTATAGTGTGAAACTCTGACCTGTGGTCCCTAGTGATGGCGAGCATCACCCTAACCAAATGGTCAGAGTTTATGCTGCTAATAAACTTGTACATAGTAGAACCTAGTTCAGAGAGGATTCAGCATCACCCTCTACTGTTGTCCTGCCTTGAAGTCTAAGACTTTAATATGATCTTGAGGAATCCCGACAAACCCGAATAGAAGAATATTTTACAAAGTAACTGGCCTATATTTTCAACAACGTTAATGCCATGAACTACAATGACTGGAGGATATTCAGAATGAAAGGAGACATGACAGCTGAGTGCAGTGATTAGTACTGGATTTTCTTTTGCTGTAAAGGACATTATTAGGTAATTGGTAAATCTCAATAAGGTCTGGATATTAGATTATTCTATTGTATCAATGCTAATTTTCTGATTTAGATAATTGTGCTGTGATTATGCATGAAAATGCCTTGTTTTCAGGAAATGCATGCTGATATATTGAGGCCATATCTGCAATTTGCTAAAAAGTGATTTAGGGAAAAAGAGAAAAATAGGAAGCAAATTTAGTAAAATGCAAACATTTGAGGAATCTGGGTAATGGACTATCCTGCCATGGACTTCTAAATATATTCTTTCAACCTTTCTAGATGTTTACAGCTAAAGTAAAAACATTTTATTTTTTTTAGTACAAGGTTATGATGAGCTAGCCATAAAAAATAGTTTTGATAGGCCAATGGTAAAGAAATGTGCTTTTTTTTTTCATCCAAGGCTTTTTCCCTTAATTTTTGATCTGTTACAGTTTGCTTTGCTTTGTGTTCAGATACTGTAACCAGGTCATGGCCCATGGATCTGTCTGCACTGGGTCTTAAGTTGTGGACGCTCTGTCTCCAAGTTCAAAACCGAAGTGCGTGAGAGAGATGACAAGTTAGGCGCAGAAGTACTTTTGTGTGCCACTTAAGAACAAGAATAATCTTTGGTTAATTTAAATAGTTTTGTCACTGAGAAACTGAGGGTCCTGTGAATGTGTGAAAGTAATTTTATTAACAATTTGAAGCTGTGTTATATTAGTATTATGCAGTGATACAGTGTTAAGTGAGTTAAATGCATGCTGGTGCAGAATCCTGTTTTACTAATAGCACTGTGATTTCTTTTGGCTTGGGTAGTAACCTGTAGATCCACGTTCAAGCTGGAGGTTCTGGGGAACTTGGTGGGTGTCCTGAAGAAAAATGTGATTGTGTTACAAAAATAAAAGAAAGGAAAGAGAAAGAGAGAGAGAGAGAGAGAGAGCGCAAAGCGTTGAGGCTGGTGGTTTAGGACGCTTGATTTTGAGAATGAGACAGAACTCTTTATTTAGGGAGCTGACTGTGACTTCATTCCCCACACAGAACATGCTGGCAAGTGTTCCTGTTTGGGTGGGCGTACACCCTGCACCAACACATGTTTTCAGCCTCTTGGTAGGAAGAGGGGTTTTCCCTGGCTGCCTCACTTCAGAAATGACATAGTCGGTGCACAGACTGCTCGAGCCTTTTCCCAAACTTGTTTTCTGTCGCTTGCCAGTAGAACACTAACTGTGGGGTCTGGGAAGAGCGGAGAGGCAAATGTGTTCTAGTGGGTGATCAAACCCACATGCTTTTCTATATTTGAAATACAAAACACTGTAGCCTCTTCAGCCTTCTGAAGCTTCCCTCTTTATTGATTAGACTTATTTTTATTCTGTATTGAAAGAGACTTATGGTTGTCGTGACAACAGATGCCCATCACATGCACTGGTCCGAAGATGTGCGTAATGAGGTGGTTGAGAGAGCAGAGAGCATCGCATCCTATTCCACTCAATTTGGGTTGATACTGAGCAATGTGTCCTGAAATAATCAGCCTGGCTGATTTGCTTTTTGCTCCTAAAAGTTAATTGGCCCCCAGCAGGGGCGAGGCGGTGAAGAACAAGATTGTTATAGGCAATGCTCTGCTCTTGCTTCTATTTTTAGCTAAAGACATGCCTTTACTTTCAGGCCATAGTGTACGAAGGCCAAGACAAGAACCCAGAAATGTGCCGAGTGTTGCTCACGCACGAGATCATGTGCAGGTAAGGAATTGCTCTCTCTCTCTCTCTCTCTCTCTCTCTCTCTCTTTCTCTCTCCCACTCTTTCTGCAAAGTAAAGATGACTTTGGATCTCACGCCTAGGCAAAGTCAGTTCCATTGGTTGACTATCTGTTTATTTTGCTTTTAGTAAATAATCTGGAAGAAAGAATTCTTAGACACATTTGGCAGTGTCAGGGATCACGACGGTTCTCAATTATTTATTACATTTCATCTCGGAAGACATCGGCTTGCATTTTGATTCCTCACAGATAATGGCCACAGAGCAGTGCCCTCCATCAACCTTTACAGTGGAGTCAAATCCAGTACAGCCTGCTCAGTGGTGACATTTGAACTCAGCCTCATGCTTAGTAAAATGAGAGTTCTCTTGAAGTCCACGGAGGCTTCTGTTTGGGTCAACTTGAAAGTTATAGTTCCTCGTTTTGAGTTCTTCTACTTAATATAACCCCCATACCCAAGCCTCATTTCTCCTTAAACTGATCTCTTTTTTTTTTCTTTTCTCCTTGCATTTGGTCTTTGACTTACCCTATTCATATCTGAACATGAAGCTAATATTTCTTGGAGGTAGTGAGCTTTGAGATTGGGGCAGGATAGTGAAAAGGAGTCTCTATGCTCCTCCCATAGGAGTCTTCTCACATTGGGCTGTAATCATGCTGATGTGGTATCTGAGACCACCGTCACCTCCATGGCCTCAGCCAGGCCTGCACAGGAGAGGGGCAAGAGCAAGGGATAGCCTTTTAACTTGTGCTCCTATTCCTTGTAAAAACAATCCAGTATTTTGTTCCCTATAGCTCTCAAGGAATTGGATAAAGCAGGAAGATGCCACTCTGCATCAGAGAAAGGCTCCTAATTGCTTTGTTAGGAGCAGGGCTCCCTGGCCCAGTGTGCACTGGGCTGCTAAATGTCATTGACCAATCCATCTGAGTCTTCAGCTGCTGTTTCAGCATGGGCAGCTCTCCTCTGCTGTTCATGGACTCTTCTGGAAAACAACCCCAAAACTCTACAGGTGGAAGTAGAATCAAAAGGGCTTCATGTGTTTCCTGAATGAAATCCCAAATACTAACATTTGGGTCTCTAAAAATTCCCTGTTTCCTTTTTTTATTATTCTTTTAAAAAATATAGTTCTGATTTATAGCTTGAAGATGTAGAAGAGTTTCACACATTTTATTTCAGTGATTTGTAAAACTTGTTAATTATTCTTAAAGCTAGGTTGCTTTCACTCAGATTTAAGACAACAGTAGCCGAACGCTCCCAAATGATGTGGGATTTCTTCCATTAGTGGGGAAAATTAGTTTTACCCTGTGTGTAAATATCATCTAGGTGAGTGGTACCTTTCGGAATTAAAGGAGAAAAATCCATTTTGAAAAGCAGTAAAACATGACCTTGTCTATATTACTACTTCCCCAAGCGTTTCTCTCTGACTTTAGCCTTCTACAATTAGCATACCATTAGAGGGAACCCTCCAAGTGGAGCTGCTCAGGATTGGAGCAAAACAGGAAACAGGAAGACAGATTTCAACCAACAGGCCAGGCGCTATCTATACATTGCCTATTTGCATTTTGTATCTGCATATGTTTGGATTATGCCGGAGAGAATTCTATTCTTGAACTACTTAGAGATATATTATGCCTCTCACGCACAGGCCTCCCCTCGATTAATGCAGTTTATATTTTCCTTGTTTTTAAAATTCATTGGTCCAAAGTGCTTTATGATGCTGGTTGGTGTGCTTTACTGCTGACGGTGCCTCTATTTCTCAGCAACATAAAAATAGCAAAAATAAAATTCTCAAGCCACTGAAGGCAAATGATGCTGTGTGTACCGCCTGGCTAAGAGGGAAAAGCCATATTCCAAATGTCATCTTGCTAATGTTACAGATTACGGCTTTGCTGGCTGCCTATAGATGCAGAAGGGGTACTGTTTGTTTACCAGGCTGCCATGACCCCATTACACAAACCTGTCATCTATTGTGTGGCTAACAGTCTTTTAAATTGCAAATCTGATACTCTTTAGGGGGCTCCAGGAAGAAAATTCTCACTTTCCATATCATCCTATTTCTCTTGATTTCTTGCCTCTTGTAAGTGGAAGTTGGGTTGTGCTGAATTTGCACCAGGGGTGCAAATGCAGCCTCAATTATAAGCATAAAATTAGAATCTGTTCACCATTAATCAGCCTGGCTAATTGCTATGCACCACCATTAGCCATATGGTGTGAAAGACAGCTTGCTCTCCCCAAGATGAAATTTCTTCATTGCAGACATGAAATAGTGAAGGCCCTGGATTTTAAAATAGCTTGTTTTAGATATTTAATTTCTAAACAACTTTCTGCAGTGCTTTCTATCAAAGCTAACGGCACAATAAAACTTTGCGTGGATGTCACAAAAGCTGTGTGTTTATAGTGTGCTGGCTGTGATGGAGGAGACAGAGAATTTCGTTCCACAAGAAAGGGTTTGGTGCATTCTGTTCATCACAGGCAAATGGAAGGGAAAAGGAAAAGATAAGCAAGACACACACGTGTCTCACGTGTTGTAAATTAGGGAAAACAAACAAAACAAAACAAAACAAAGCATTGTGTTTTGTGGAGAAGGTGATCCCATTGTGTGGGATGGCTAAAGGAACTGACTTCATGAGTTTATAGTTATTGACTGCTGAGGACAACCTCTTTGATTGGATGATGCGGAGCACTTCCAAAACATAAGAGCGCTTCTGCCTTTTGGTGATTTGGAATCTATCACACCAATCATGGTGGTGAAGTTCTTAAGATAACATGGTTCCTTGGATTTTTTAAAATTTGTTTTTATTGAGCTATATATTTTTCTCCAATCTCCTCCCTTCCTCTCCCCTCCCCTTCTACCCTCTCCCATGATCCCCGTGTTCCCAATTTACTCAGGAGATCTTATCTTTTTCTACTTCTCATGTAGGTCTCTCTTAGGGTCCTCTTTGTTGTCTAGGTTCTCTGGGATTGTGAATTTGTAGGCTGGTTTTCTTTGCTTATGTCTAAATGCCACTTATGAGTGAATACATATTATATTTGTCTTTCCGGGTCTGAGTTACTTCACTCAATATGTTTTCTAGATCCATCCATTTGCCCGCAAATGTCAAGATATCATATTTTTTCCCACTGTGTAGTACTCCATTGTATAAACGTACCACATTTTCCTGAATACTTTTTTTTCTTAACGAGTTGGATTCTGTAAGGGGTTTGCTTATGTGAGCACCCTAACTTCTGTGTTTAATGGAACCCAGCTTGGTTGGGGGACTTGGAATCCTGCTCTGCAGAGATGCCGAGTACAGCAGGGGTTCGTTTTCAGTGCCCAGGAAGAGGACAGGTTTTAGGCACACTAAGGGAGAATTCTTGCTTGTTTTCTTTTCTTTTGCAGAAGAATCATGAATCTCAGACTAGCCTATTTCCTCTTTTGCATCCTTATTAGGCATTTTCTTTTTTCCTTCTTCTTTTCCAGGTTTAGGCTAACTTCCTCCTTCAGACACCAGCTTAAGCAGGGCTTCTCCAGGGAAGCACCTCTGGCCCTTGGCCCAAGTTGTATTCCCTTGTAAGCAGTCCAGTGTAGCAGGTGCTTTTAACTTTATAGCACTCTGTGCCCTTGCAAATGACACCTAACTGTCTGTCTTTATTCGGCCATGCCCCTCAAAGGCCCGGAAGTGACTCAGTTTTCCTCCACGCTTCAGTTGTCCCATTTGTGAAATGGGATGTTAATACTGTCTCATAGAATAATAATTAAGATTAAATGCTATTCGTTCCTATAAACTCCACAATGCTAGGCAGAGTCAGAACTGAAAGCCTGTTATGATTCGAAACAATATTAATAGAAGCAGTAGTAGAGGCATCATTTGTGCCTGTGGGTGCTTAGTTGCTCAAAGTAACTGATGGTAAGAAAATATTGAAAAGAAGTTTAGTGTCTATCAGAATCTGAATATACCTGTTCTATTACAGTTGTCGGGGCTATGTGTCTTTATTTCTTAGTGCCTACTACGTGCAAGGGCTTGTTGCAAGAGGCAGGAGAGCTTTCAAGTTGGAAGCTTTTTGTAGCCAATCCGACTTTACTAGGCAAAGGGGCTCATGTGACGGCACGATGAGGCAAAGGACTGTGTTTGAGAGGAAGATGGAAGAGTTGTAGCTGGGTCATGGGAGTGGGAATGGAGAGCGATGAGATGGGAGAGGGATTTTCGAGGCTGTGTTAAGGAGAGTTTGTGGTCCAGGCAGAATTGTTGTGTGGAAGTTTATAGCTGGGCAGACCTGCGGCCTGGAGCTGGCCAGAGGGACTTGATTAAAGATAATCAACTTCAGACTATGCTTTTCAAAGGCGAGAACCAAAGTGGCATGGAAGGCAGGGTTGGGAAGTGTGGAAGAAGAGGAATAAAGGAGAGAATGGCTCCATTCTTGAGAGGAAGAGTCACATTGAGTAAGAAGGTCACACTGTAGAATTAGGAAGTATCTTGCGCGTACGGGGCTCAAGAATGAAAAAGGGGGTAGCAAGGTATGGAAATCAGCCCTGAGGGTATCCTAGTGCTGATGAGATGTACATGGGTACAAGGAGCGAAAACCCCCAGGTCGCTGGTGACTCAGGAAGTAGATACCCTGGGGCTGGCCACAGTTTTGAATGAACCCAACTGGCAAGAAGTGCTGGCCACTCTTACAGGAGAATGCTGATCAGTGGACAAACGAACTCTAGAGAAATGAAGGAGGACTAGACAATGTTAGCAAACATGGAAAAAAATCAATCGGGAGAGAAGAGTTCCAGATATGAACCCCATTAATTCACAGGGCCGAGAGTGCCCCGGTAGGACAGACTGAGTGGAGACGGCAAGGTTGCCTGCTCGAAGATTAAGTCTTCTGGAAACAGACAACTTTTAGGGGTGGCAGGCTGATGAAGGACAGAAGAGTCAATGGATTAGATCCCGCCTGAGCTCATCCCCTTTGTAAGTATTAACCAGGCTATCCAGTAATTCACAAAGCCCCTTCTCCAGCCA